ATGAATGTATTTTATTCTCATATACACTGAGAGCATATGCACCAAAGACAAATTCCTTGTGTGTCCAATCACACTTGGCCAATAAAGAATTCTATTCTATTATTACTATTATTCTTCTCGTCCTTCCTAGTATCCTATCTCTTCCCACTTATGACTATAACCATGTTGCTTGTATCTTTAAATTTTATATTGTTTTATTTGTTTACTAATATGATTTGATAGCTTATTAGTAACCTTGACTATCACTTAAGTGTGGAATCTTTTTATTCTTGATGAATGTATTTTATTCTCATATACACTGAGAGCATATGCACCAAAGACAAATTCCTTGTGTGTCCAATCACACTTGGCCAATAAATTTTTTTATCTATCTATGACAGTTGCACTGCCCTGGAGTAATGTGGTCACCATTTGTAATCTTTCCGGATGGCTTCCAACAAGCCAGATGTGTTAATGGCCATAATGATCACATAACAACTGCAGTGATTCACATAACTCTGGCAAAAAGGTCATAAAATGGAGCAAACTCACTTAAATGCTTTGCTTGGCAATGGAAAGTTTGGACTTAATTGTGATCATAGGTTGAGGACTACCTGTACTTTTTGTTTTGAACCACTTTTATATTGATAGCCTTTGTGATGACTTGATTGTTTCACTCATAGGCTGAAGCCATATCACATGACTAAAGGAAAAGGTTGGGGTTGTCCAGGTGTAATATGTCACAGTAAGGTCAGGACCTTTGTATACTCATTTCTCATTCTCTCTGATTCATGACATAGGTCTGTTTAGAAGCGGAGGAATAAAATTTAAGCAAACGTTTTGTAATTTCAAAGCAACAACTAGTGTTTCACTATTGTGGCTGGAATATCAGAGAACATTATCTGCTGGTTTGAAGGCTAAAAAATCTAGAATGAGTTCTCATCTTTTTTTTTTTTTGAATGCACCTAAAATCATGAAAGATCCATCTGCTATCATCTTATGCACATTGGAATGAACTCTGTTGAACTAAAAGGAATGTGATTTTTGATAATTCATTGGGTTGCAAGATTGATCTATAATCTTTCCATTTACTATTTGCTCAGGTTCTATCAAACATTCAAATGGAAGTGATTCTTATAAATGGATGGGGCTGTGCGAAAAGATGTATTTAATGAAATAGTCTTTTTTCATTTAATCTATAATGCAGAAATGTCTCTGAATTCTATATTGAAATATTAGCTTCTATTTTTAAGCATGCACATTGCTGAGCTAACTGCATAGTGAAAATGTGCCACAGTATAGCTTGCTTTAATATATCTTCTTAGTCACACTTCTAAAGGAAGTAGTATTAGCATCATGGGTGCTGCTATCAGATTGCTTGTTATGCAAAGGTGTTACACCAGCTCATATTTAATACAGCATATTGCACATTTGTTAAATTTGTAAGTAGCTGAATAAAGAAAAACAGATTTAATATCTTAAGTTATTTAGCAATCTAGTAGAGCAAGAATTGCTAGAATA